AGATTATGTGGGGAGATGTGGACAAATAGGACATCAGTCCAATGAGACCAAGAGGCATTCGCAGTCGATACCGCTGCCTGGAGGTAATATGATCAGCTGGAATGCGTAGTCGGCCACTGTGGACATTCCTCTAACTTTGATAAGGCAGCCAGCAACAAATGAGACTCTGCGATGCATGAATATCTTAGAGCATAAGTTGATTTAGTGCATGGAATGAATCCAAAACAGATCATTTGCTGAAAGAGATGACTTAGTCAAAGCAACACAGTGTCAATAGTAAATACATGAGCGACTTGAATTAGAAAATCCCTGGTGTAAACAGATTCCTACCAAGTTGAATTTATGCTTCAATTAAAAAAAGCCTAGAAGATGCTAAATAAAAACATAGTTGTTAAAATATATATTTTTATATATATATATACAACTTAACTATTTGTCTGGGCCAACATAGGGCCAGAATGAGGCCAGCTTAAGTGCGTCCAATGTGTGGACCATGACTGGGCTAGACCAATTTTGCTGTAATGGTAAATGGTAAATGGACTGTACTTGTATAGCGCCTTTCTAGTCTTCTGATGATTCAAAGTGCTTTAACACTACACCACATTCGCCCATTCACACATATTCACACAGTGATGGCAAAGCCCATCAAACGGAACTTACTCATTCATACACATTTATGAATGCACAGCATCAGGAGCAATTTGGGGTTCAGTATATTGCTTAATACTAAACTCATGGATACTTCAACATGCAATGGGAGGAGACGGGGAAGCAGGGCGCTTTACCTCTGTATGAAAATACATGTAAATTCACATGTGAAAGTATTAACGACAAAATGTGGTTAAAGTTGCAGAAGGTAATTTTTATTAAAAAAATTGTTTTGTCATATTTGGTGAAACTTATTTCACTATATCCTGACAGTAGTACATACGACAGATAATCTAAAAAAAAATTGGTTCCTTTGGCTCCTCCTAGTGATCCTAATGGCATTTGTAAGAATTCACGGGGCCTGAATAAAAACAACCAATCAGAGCTAAGAAAAATAAAAAGACACTTTGGGAAGGAAGCTTGAAGAGTTGATTGTTGAGTCTGAGGAATGAGACTCAACAATCAACTCTTCAAGCAATATCTTTTCCTTCTCTGAACCTGATTTCTTTTTACAGATTATCTGTACTACTGTCAGAACACAATTTCAGCAAATATGATACAAAAAATAAAACTCCAATACTTGCCTTGTATGTTATGTAATATAAGACATTGTCAAATTAGGAAGGGGGGTAATTAATTTTACTATAATTAGACTGCCTGGCAATGAATGTGGTAATAATTTACAGATGTTAAAATGATGGGTGTACCAGCTCTGTGATACTAACAAACTCATCAAAGTACGGGTCACGTTTTCATTCTTTTCAAATTAAAGATGTGGTGATAATTTCAATGGGGCTACCACATGTTCATTTTCCTCTGTGGGTATAACATGCCCACCAGATATTTCACAACAGGAGCTTCAGCAGTTAATTTTCCAGCATGAGAACACTGATGGCAGGGACAGATATGAGCAGACACAAGAACTCCTTCTTCTGTAGATATGTAAGACCTGATATAAAAATAAGACTTTAGAAAGGTTGCATCAAGTCCTGAAACTTAGAGGAAACAGGTTATGTGTCATTGCCTACCAAAATTACCCAAATTAGTTTTTTCATATCTGTCACCAGGACAATATTATGTTGCCTTCACTTGTGACAGACAATGTACCCACATCGTAAAATTGGTCTGACAAGATGTGATTATCATGTCATCTGCCTTTAAAGTTACAATAGATCATTTTTTATAAAAAAATATTTTTGTCACATTTGGTAAAAATTTCCTTACCTAACCTTCTTATATCCTGACAGTATATCAGATAATCTGTGAAAAAAAATATTATCTTCAAGCTTACAACCCAAAACGTCGTTCTGTCTTTCTTGGTTGTTTTTGTACAGGCCAGGTGGATTCTTGTGAAAAAAAATGACAAAAGGTTATTTTTATAAAGATTACCTACTGCAGCTTTAATTAGAATCTCATGTGTATTTATTCATGTTGACGCTTGTCCCAACCATAAGGATAATCCATTTTGCTGGGCAAAACACCACACAGTAGATCCACAAGGAGGCCAATAACACTTCTGAAATATGTATGTGTAACGCTGTGGTTAATCTTTCCAGGTAGGTGTTATTGGATTGTGTTAGATTTATGGCACACTGAAACTACCTTAATGCCCTGGTTGGCTCCATAAAGTCCAAAACATCATTGTCACATATTTTATAGGTTTGTTGAGCACACATTCTCTGTTCCAACATCATCTCCTTTATTTTAAATTCATGAAACTATGTATGTTGTTATTATGGTGCTGTTCAGTATTATCAGTCTCCTGCTGGTAGCCACTCAGTACTCTGATTAAAACATCTAGTGACGTGGTTTACGCCTGTGGTTCACACACTGGTGTCCAGGGGTCACCGGGGGCCATTAATAAGCCTCCCAGCAAAAGTAAATCTCACCACAATTTAATTCCCTAGATGTTTGATTGAATTACATCCCATGGAACAAAAATATCTCAAAGAAAAATGTCCAGAAATGACCTGGTTTAAGACCACAGAGTGAGAATGTGTATGGTTTACTGTGTTGTGTGTTGTATGCAATTTTGTACTACTGCTTGGGCTTGAGGATGGAAATGTTGGTCGATCTGTCTTTGGTCCAGATATATTGAGAATGACTGGCCAGATACTGCAAAAGTCTGATTATCTGGTGACCCCTAACCTGAAACTTTCACTTCAGAAATAGCAGAATCAACCTATGAAATCTACAATCCCAGTCCCCACGAAGAAAAAAAAATTGTAAATGCATTTAACTACTTTACAGGCATTGCGACATTAAGTTATCCTCTATTGATCACTGTACAGAAATTCATTATCTGCATTTGAGTACTAGGAGCAGTAGGCAGTCACAGTGCAGCACCCAGGTACCTGAGCCAAAGTGGTCCAACAAACATGTTTTGATGGTGGGGGAAACTGGAGCACCTGGAGAAAACCCATGCAAACACAGGAACAACATGCAAACGCCACACAGAAAGGCCCTGCCCCAACCCACAATCTAACCCAGGACGTTCTTGCTGTGAGATGACAGTGGTAACCACTGAGCCACCGTGTTGCCATGATACATGAGGTGTTTCCTCACCAGAACCAAATAGCCAAATCCAAATTAGGTTTCGGGGTCAGCTAACAGATACTAAGAGGTCCTTGCCAAATGCATTTCCACAATGCTGATTATGTCTATCGTCACCAGGTAAATCTCTGTCTTTAGTGTAGGCTACAGCAACTGGGAGTATGGTGGAGCCTATGGACTGAAAGACCTAAGAAATGGCCAAGAAAAGGTTTGCTTCAGATAAAAAAGAAACTTTCGAAAGAAAGATTACTCACAAAACAAAAAGAAAGCAATCCCCGGCGAGGACAAACCACTGGCATAGCTTTTCCTTGTTGGAGAAAGTACAGAAGGGACTAAGAGCAGACACAGATGTCGTGTTACTGCCCTTGGACAGCTTGGTCTATATATTTAAATATTAAATATTTGGATTAGCCTACCTTGCAAATGCGTTGCTTTTTGATAAAAACATTAGCTTTAGCTCTAGTTGTGTTTGTGCATCTGTCTCTGGTTGTACTTTTGAAAAATAACCTGGGATCAAGTTTAGATCTGACCAAAGCTCGCTCTTTTCCTTGTGGCTGAATTGCTTTATATGCCGAGAGTTTGGTTGCATGAACAACGCTGTGACCTTCTGATGGAGTCAGTCCCCTGGGCTCCATCTGGATAATGGATGCTCACTTGGTGGGAGGGTGGCTGATGTGAGAGGAATATTGATATCTGTCTGAGATAAGGAGGAACAAGCTTCACCATAGACACTATGTTAGATTTGCTGCACAGGACAGGTATCAGGTAACTTTTGTTTCTCAGAGTGTGGGTGAGAGAGCGAGAGAGAGAGAGAGAGAGAGAGAGAGAGAGTATAGTAAAGACAGAAGGACAGAGACAGGGGTAAAGACAGAAGGACAGAGACAAAGGTGCACTGATACACACTGGTACACTAATAGAAGTGACTGATGGTGATGATGATGATGATGATGATGAACATGAAGAAGATGATGACGACGACGACAACAGCCACAACGATGGGGGACGATGAGCAATGATAATAGTAATAATAGTAACTGTAATAATAATAATAATAACGATAATATCAGTAATATTAGCA